AAATATTTTTTTAATATGTTTTATTGAACTTGTAGAGTTTAATGCATTGTGGGATAAAAACGAATAGAATTGTATGAAATAGTGAATGATGATGTGACACTCCATTGAACTCTATAAAGTTTAATGCATTGTGGATGCCCTAAGTACCTGTCATATTACTTCAACATTTCGCCAATACTCCACATATCCGCTGAACAAAATGCTTTTTTAGAAAAAAAAATTCTCACCCTGATTTAATAAAAATGAATCAAACACTTGTATTTAAAAAAATTAGAGCAATAATATTGTTTAACTAACTAGTGACAAGTGACAAAATATTGTTACTTTTCTTTTAAAATACCAACAAAATTATTTTAACTGTTTACAGGTGCTATTCGTTCATCTTGGGTTTTAGTAAAGGAGTAGTGACAAAACCCGTCTATAAGTTGGGAATTAATTCATCGCTAAAATACTCGTGACACACTTGTAGCGACATCCGGAGTTAGAAAGGCGACGAATCAACAAATTTGGTTCTCAATGCTTACTAAGTGTCTCTTCGTTTGGAGAAGAGAAAGGAAATTTTAAAGAACTAAAACATGTGTGAACAATTGAAATGTGAAAGCATAAGAATTTAAAAGCATCTACTAACCTCACAAGCTAAATAAAGTTAATAATGTCTTGTCATATTTAGTTATATAATAACAAGGCTTGGGGTAAGCACATAGACTAAGTACGTACATATTATATATTAATATGTAGATGTTATTTCATTTCCAAAAATTTCTTATAATTTTTTTCAATTAAAAGAGTATAATCTGTATTGATTTATTTTGAGGTCGTAAATAAACATAAAAACTTCATATCAGAAAAAGTTAATATGTGGTGTTGCTGTCAAATAAAAAACAGAGCAAGGATCGTCCCTCTTCACAAATTATATGTGGGTCCTGAACATGGCTATAAATAACACACATCCTTAATTTGAGAATTACATACGGACACAATTGGTTCTTTGTTTTCTGACATAAAAAGGGTTTATCTTAAAAGCTTGTCCAAGAAATATTCGATTAACTATTTAGTGTCAGACATGGAATCAGTCCAGAAAGAGAATGTTTTGGTAGAGAAAGTGTGTGAGATTTATCACAAAATTTCAAAGCTTGAGAATCTGAAACCCTCGAAAGATGTTGACAGCCTATTCACTGAGCTCGTCCGCACATGCATCCCACCCTCTTCTATCAACATAAACAGTCTCCCGGCCAATATTCAAGAAATAAGGTCAAAGCTCATAAGACTTTGTGGTGAGGCTGAAGGCCATCTTGAAGCCCACTTCTCCACCATTTTAGGCTCTTTCCCAAATCCACTTCACCATCTGAATCAATTCCCTTACTACTCCAATTACCTGAAGCTTAGCCGTCTTGAGTTTCACATTCTCACTGAACACTATTCTGCATTTGGACAAGCCCCTAAGCGTCTTGCCTTTGTGGGGTCCGGCCCCTTGCCTCTCACATCTATTGTATTAGCCTCTTATCATCTCAAGGACACCATTTTTCACAACTATGACATCGACTCTTCCGCAAATTCCATGGCCTCTCATCTTGTTTCCTCTGATTCTGATTTGTCCCAAAGAATGGTATTCCACACTGCCAATATAATGGATGTGACAGATGAGTTGAAGGGATATGATGTCGTTTTCTTGGCTGCACTTGTAGGGATGGATATTGATGAGAAGGTGAAGGTGATCGATCATTTGGCAAAGTACATGGCCCCAGGTGCTTTGCTCATGCTGAGGAGTGCTCATGGTGCCCGTGTCTTTCTCTATCCAGTGGTAGAACCACAACAACTTCAAGGGTTCCAACTTCTCTCCGTTTTTCATCCAGACGATGACGTCATCAATTCCGTCGTGATTTCACGTAAGATTGCGGATCCTGTTAACAATGATCATGATGATGATGGTCATCATCATCATCACCATGAGTTGGGGATCGAGTCTTTCATGCCATTGAGTTGCAAGTATTGTGAGTTCCAAGCTTTCAACAATCCTCTTGGCCAGATGAAAATGATTGATAATTAGATTTCATTCTATGTTAAATAGGATTGGTACTCGGATAAACTTATCGTATGTGCTTGCCTGAAAGTGTGGGAATGGATTTGATTGTCTCGGTTTTATCTTATCTTACTGAAATTTCCTGAAATAAAGAACCCTATATTATGTTATACATCATCAGCCAATTTACAAACTGTTGATTCAAAAACTCATTTACCTTTTCACTATATTATAGTTCCTCCTCTAATATCCTCTGTAACTTAAGAAAGAAGGCCTTACACTACCATGGAATTCAATGAAATATTTAAACTCTTGGAACGTGTCATCCGGCAACAGAGGAATTATGCTAAAATCTAAGTTCTGACTATGTTCAAAGAAATATTTACACTACCAATGAATTCAAAGAAATATGAAACAAAGGGTTTTGTCATAGAAAAATAACTACGGAAAATTTCTGTTGGTAATTACCTACATAATACCAACATAATTCTTACGGAATGGGATGTCATAAGTTAGTAACAGGAATAGTTACGGAATAACAAAGGATGAGCGTCCGTAGATATTCTGTTGGTAATTAGCTATAGAATAGCTACAATATAGCGACGGAAGTAAGCATGTAGGTATTCCGTAGGTAATTAGCTACAGAATAGTTACAGACTACCCATAGAAGAAAATAGCTACATAATAACTACGAAATACCAATGACTTTGTAATTTTATTTTTATTATTATTATTATTATTATTATTATTATTATTATTATTATTATTCAAAATTCAGATCTTAAATTTTTTTTTTGATCATTTTGTTTTAAATATTTAAAACACAAAAAAATTAAAATCATACTAATAGTACTAATAATAATTATTATTATTACAAACACAATGATAATATATAATAATCGTAACGAATCTGTTTAACACACAAACAAATGAACAAATGGAAAAAACAACGTTTAACACATCAATAAGGTAAAATAATATACATTTAATGTATGAATAATGAAAAATGATGATAATTATGCGAAATATGTTTATTTGTATTAGTGTATGTATTTATTTATGTATGTATGTATGTGAGTATATGTATATATATTTATGTATGTGTATGTATGTATATGTGTGCTTATGGATATGTATGTGTGTATATATGTGTATGTGTATGCATGCGTGTATGTGTATCTATGTGTATGCATGATTTTATGTACATTTATATGATGTATAACTTTGTGAAAACAAAGCAATAAAAGTATAATGGTGTTGTAAAAAAATTAAAGGAAAAAACGACATTAGACCCTTGAAAAATAGAAAATAAATAAATAAATAAAACTCGTAGGTAATCCGGAGGTAAATACCTACGAATTACCATTTACCTACGGATAACCTTTATCTGTTGATAATCCGTAGGTATTTACCTATGGATTGCCTACAATTTTTTTTTCTAATTTTTAAGGGAAAATATTGTTTTTTCAATTTCATTTTTTTCACAACAATATTATACTTTGATTTCTTTGTTTTCACCAACTTATACATAACATAAACTTACATACAAAGGTATGCATTGTTAGAACCCATTACTCATTTACAACTTTATTATTCTTTTTTATATAATATAAACGAAAGTTGTTTTATTTACACAAATACAAATAAATACACATATTTACATACAAACCATATGTATGTATTATTTTTAGTATATCGTGTATTTGTTTAATGAGGTTAATTGTTGCTCAAGAACAAACATAAATAGCTTTTTGTATCATATATAGTAAAGAGTTATAATGATGCACATTCTTCTACATACGTTTATATGATGTATAATTTTGTGAAAACAAGACAATCAAAGTATAATGATGTCGTGAAAAAAAATGAAACTAAAAAAACGACATTAGACCCTTGAAAAAGAGATAAAAAAAACATAGGTAATTCGTAGGTAAATATATATTTACCTACGGATAACCTTTATCCGTAGGTAATCCGTAGGTATTCACATACAGATTGCCTACGGGTTTTTTTATTTTCTAATTTTTAAGAGAAAATATTGTTTTTTTTAGTTTCATTTTTTCACAACTTTAGTATTCTTTGTTTTCACCAACTTATTCATCACATAAACTTACATACAAAGGTATACATATATTAATAGTACTATTAATAATAATTATTATTATAAACATAATGATAATATATAATAATCGTAATGAATGTGTTTAAGACATAAGCAAATGAACTAACGAAAAAAAACAACGTTTAACACATCAATAAGATAAAATAATATACATTTAATGTATGAATAATGAAAAATGATGATAATTAGGGGAAATATGTATATTTGTATAAATAAGTGTATGTATGTATTTAGTTATGTATGTATGTATGTGAGTATATGTATATATATTTATGTATGTGTATGTGTGTATATGTGTGCTTATGGATATGTATGTGTGTATATATGTGTATGTGTGTATTTGAGTATGTATGTGTATGTGTTTGCATGCGTGTATGTGTATCTATGCGTATGCATGGTTTTATGTACATTTATATGATGTATAACTTTTTTGAAAACAAAGCCATCAAAGTATAATGATGTTGTAAAAAAAAATGAAATGAAAAAAACAACATTAGACCCTTGAAAAATAGAAAGTAAAAATAAACCGTAGGTAATTTACCTACGGATAAAATATCTATGGATAACCTTTATCTGTAGGTAATTCGTAGGTATTTACCTACGGATTGCCTGCGGTTTTTTTGTTTCTAATTTTTAAGGGAAAATATTGTTTTTTCAATTTCATTTTTTTTTTCACAACTTCATTATTCTTTGATTTCTTTGTTTTCACCAAATTATACATAACATAAACTTACATACAAATGTATACATATACTAATAGTACTAATAACAATTATTATTATTATAAACATAATGATAATATATAATAATCGTAACGAATGTGTTTAAGACACATACTAATGAACAAAAAAAAAAACAATGTTTAACACACCAATAAGGTAAAACAATATACATTTAGTGTATGAGCAATGAAAAATGATGATAATTAGGGGAAATATGTATATTTGAATAAGTGTATGTATGTATTTATGTATGTATGTATGTATGTGAGTATATATATATATATATATATGTATGTGTATGTGTGTATTTGTGTGCTTATGGATATGTATGTATGTGTATATGTGTATGTGTGTATTTGAGTATGTTTGTGGATGCGTATGCATGCGTGTATGTGTATCTATCTGTATGCACGGTTTTATGTACATTTATATGATGTATAACTTTGTGAAAACAAAGCAATCAAAGTATAATGATGTTGTGAAAAAAATGAAACGAAAAAAAAACGGCATTAGACCCTAGGAAAAAAAAAAACTCATATTACATATGTAATCTGTAGGTAAATACCTTTGGATAACCTTTATCCATAGGTAATCCGTTGCTATTAACATACGGATTGCCTATGGTTATGTATATGTATGTGTGTATTTGAGTATGTATGTGTGTATGTGTATCTATGCGTATACACAGTTTTATGTACATTTATATGATGTATTATCTACAGTTGTTTTTTTAGAATGAATCAAAAGGGTAAAATATTTCAGTTAAAAAAATAGAATATTTATACACTATATTAATTATATTGAAAAAAAAACATACCTGGTTATTTTCAAATTATATTTAATTCTAATATAATACATCAATTTTTCAATTTGTTGATACCTAAAAAATTCCTACATTTCGTTATACCTACAGAATTGATATGCCCTCCTACAACCCAAATTCCCGCTTGAAGATTGCTCATCGATCAAAATTACCCAAACAAAACCCTTGTTTACACCGACGATTTCTGAAGCCTACTGCAGCACACATCCATCAGTGATTCTCGACTGATTTCAGGTAACCAATTGGACTTTTGTGATTTCCGAACTCTGATTTCAACACACATCGGCGACCCACATTGACCAAAACGGTTGCAGGTTTGCCCTCCAACATCGTTGTCGCACATCACCGCATACGCTGCCCCGTATCACCACCGTCGCTGCGCCATACTACCACCGTCGCTGCCCCACACCACCATCAGCAACACCCCAGGTATGTATGTATTTCGATTTCAGTTTCCTCACATTTCACACATTTTTCCCCTAGAGAATCAATTTCAACGACACCCCAGGTATGTATGTCTTTGTCATCTTTGGGTGGTTGTCAAGACAAAACCAAGAGGGGTATATGAAGTCATCGAAGCTGAAACAGAAGTTGCGCTTGATGGAAACACTGAAGCAAATGGATTCTTTCATCTTAATGAGCGGTTTGAGTTACCGAATGAAGTAAATGTTAGTGAACGTTTGACCCTAGCCTCAAATAAAACTAACTTTGACCAAATATCTTCCGATAAGAGTGAGGGTTCTGAAGCGAGAAACCAAGAAGATGATTCAGATGACGAGGATAGAGACGAACTAGTTTATTTTGACTACTTTGATCCAGATGAGGACGAATGTTAGAAAGTTTGTTTTATGTTATATGGTATATACACTTTAATATTTTTGTTAGCACATTTTATTTTTGATTTATAATATGGAATGTATATGCTAGTCTATTTGTTATTTTTCATTATCATCTAACATATCTGACTATTTTTGCTCTATAAACACAGAATGTTGGATAAAGGCATAACACGTAACCTTTTTTCGGTTGGTCCTCCATCGGGTGGTAGGCCATCCTCTGTCTTCCACGCATCCCTCTTATAAGTGTGGGAATGGATTTGATTGTCTCGGTTTTCTCTTATCTTACTGAAATTTCCGGAAATAAAGAACCCTATATTATGTTATTCATCATCGGCCAATTTACAAACTGTTGATTCAGAAAGTCTTTTACTTTTTCACTAAATTATAGTTCCTCCACTAATATCCTCTGTAACTTAAGAAAGAAGGCCTTAAAGTACCATGGAATTCAATGTCATATTTACACTCTTGGAACGTGTCATCTGGCAACAGAGGAATTATGCTTAAATCTAAGTTCTGACTACATATGTTCAAAGAAATATTTACACTACCACGGAATTCAAAGAAATATGAAGACAAAAGAAAAAGAACTTCAACACTAGTAGTGATTGTGAATTACTATGTTCTTTTGTTCATCAATTATGCTTAGATCTAAGTTCATATGATGCTAAAATGATCATAAAGCTGCATGTAAAACCAAAGAAATGTCTATTTGTGTAGACGAATTAATGACAATCATTAGCACTATGAAATATATCAACTGTTAGCACAACCACGTTGTGAGCTTTTTCCAAGAGCATATTGCGTCAAATAACCTTTTTAATATCAAAAAAGGTATTGTGGGAGCTTATTAATTAGTACAAATTGTGAATAGACAGCTTGTAACCATTCATATATGTCCCTACAGGTATGCGACTTAATGGGAAAACCACACACTCTGATCAAACCTATGAAAATGAATTTATCATTAAAAGACATATCTTATCGCAGGTTTATAGAAGTATCAAAACACATAAGGTGAATATTTGGAACCTATATCTTACGATATATCTTATATCTTATATTTATAATAAACTAAATTACTAGTTATAATAATGTTACTAATTGTATTATTTGTTTCTTACGATTTACCTTATATTTATAATAAACTAAATTACTAGTTATAGTAATGTTACTAATTGTAAATTCGAAAAAAAGTTAGAATGTTTAAAAAACTATAAATAACCTTGACTTGGAAATTGGAGTTGGAAGAAACACTAAGTCTCCAATTTGGATTTATGCTTAAATCTAAGATCTGACTATGTTCAAAGAAATATTTACACAACCAATGAATTCAAAGAAATATGAAGAAACAACTCACAAGAAAAACAGCTTCAACACTAGTAGTGATTGTAACTTACTATGTTCTTCTCACTACTAGAAACATAGGTTTTAGAGACGGATGAGTCCGTCGCTATTCCGTCGCTAAAGAGCTTTTGCGACAGATCAGCGACATATTTACTCTATAGCCAATTAGAGTGTGGCTAATGATTTAGCGAGGGATTTAGCGACGGATCAGTTTTTTTTGCGACGGCTATAGCAACGGAATGTCCATCGCAAATTGGTCACTTAATATGGTTATTTAGGACACTAGCGACAAAACATAATACAATATTCCGTCGCAAATCCCTTGCAAAGCTCTATTTTCTTCGTCGCTAATCCCTCACAAATTTAAGATACGATTTTTTTTTGATTTTGTAGCTAATCCCTCGCAAATTTAGGATGTGATTTTTTTTTCTTTCCCTAGCTAATCACTCGCAAATATATAATATGATATTCTATTTTGGTTACTAATGTAAAACAAAAATGACAAAAACATCAAATAATTATAGAATCTCAAACTAAACATTAACATTCAAATACCAAACACATCCAAAAACTATACAGTCTAAACATTAACATTAAAATACCAAAAGCATCTGTCAAAGTTTAACATTAATTAAGTTTTGATTTCAAAGTATAAGGTACCATAATTCTTAATTTCATCTCATATTTTGCATTTCCACATACATCTTCTCCATTTCTTGATATCTTGCGTCCAAAAGAAGGATTGGAATGGAACTGGGTTCCAATTCTAGTTTAGACCCACAGAAATAGGACCACATGCTACTTACTTTGATGTCTTCCAGCGTTTTTCTAGATCAGGGATTTTTGTTGGAAGCAAATACAGGACAGGAATGGAATTGAATTCCGATTCTAACTAAAAAGTAAAAGAGGAAGGAAATACGGTGTTTGTCGATAGGTCTTCATATTTGATTTTTTTGAACATTTGTGTTGAGTCTTACGGACCATCTACCACACAAAAATTAACAACACGTTTAACATTTTTATAAAAAAAGGATGCAATATTTTGAATTAAAAAGGAAATTACAAAACTAACCTTTGTGGTCTCTAGGTCATGCCAACTCCATCGGAATCTATCAAAGGAATTGGAATCTCTAATTCCAACTCCATCGGAATCCACAAACCATTTACCTGGTGCATTGAAATGAAAACAATAGAAATTCCTAGCATGGAATTTACAGTCAAAGTATGACCATACAAAGCAACAGATGCAAAGCCTGTGAAGATTGTTGCAACAATTGATGAATAGTTTTTTTTTTAAATTGTATCTGCATGACACAAACAAATAATATTATTACTAAAAAATAAATAAGTTATATTTTGTGGTTTTGTACAAGAAATATAATTTACTTATTTTACGTGCATATTTGAAGAAAAATGAGGATAAAACTCCTTAGCTTTTGAATGTCCATGCAAAATATCAAAGCTTTTAGGCCCTAAAAAAATAGGACATAAATTAATTGTTTTGCATTCTTTTGTTGTTCAAAAATAGGACATAAATTCTGGTTAGTAGATTACATGTAAATAGAGTTATCGACTAGTCAACTCAACCATTTTTTTTACATGTAAATGGAGTTCTCCTTTAGGTCAAAATATAGGAAGGATTTGACAGTTTTCCACAAAAGCCTAAACTCGGACCATAAACTGATTCGGTATATGAAGTTCTCTCAAATCTACATATTGTAACATACACGTTCTAAAATCGTGTTTTGTAATAAATAAAATTGTGAAATATTATGTAAAATTGAGTGTTGAGTTCTAACAGATGGTTTTTACTAGAAATGAAGTAAAACTATTGTTAGAATCACTCAGAAAATATTGGAAGTCTTATGAAATTTCAATTAAAAGCCAAATAGTGAAATTTAGCGAAAATATGAAATTTTAAATAAGTAAAATTTTATTATTTGATGTTGTATAGAATCTCGTTAGAAATTTGTAGGCGAAAACCTCGTCAAAATCCGAGTTATAACGAAGAAGTTATGACCAACCGAAGATCCGCGACGAAACCGGCGCGGCGCTGAATGACGTAAAAAGTGAGTTTTTGATAAACTACTTTTTAGCCTTAGTAATCTAAATGAAAGTCGTAGTATTCGTTAAACTGAGAAATTCGATAAAAAGAACGCTAAAATCTGACTTCGTATGAGGAAGTTATGATTTTTCGAAGTTTCAACTTAGCAGTAGACAGCTAAAAACTCGAATTTTAGATCGAGCGATATTTTACCGATACATCCTAAACGAGAATCGAAGGTCTCGTCATATGTAGTACAACAGTAAAAAGTTTGACGAAAACAGATGCCGGATGAAGAAGTTATGAATTTTTAACGGATTTTCCTGTTCCGGTCTGTTAAAAATAATAATATTAAAGTTAAAGTCAAAATTAGCCGACAAAGTCTAAACGAAAGTTGTCGAGCGTAATTTTAGCTACGCGTGCATATAAAGAATGTGAAAAACGGAGCTCGTATGCGAAAGTTATGGATTTTAGAAGTTCGTGGCCCAAAAACCGAGAAAACTCGTATGAACAGTACCGACCATGTCACCTTCGCACGAAGCAGAAGCGTCACCGGAGACGTGGCCGAATGCGAACTCAGCAGGTGTCACAAGGGGATTCGCTGAGGCCGAGGTCCAGCAGGAAGGGGACACGTCTCGCATCGGTGGCCAGTCCGACGCGAGACACGTCTCGCCTACCCACCTCGCTCCCGGTGCCACGTCCGAGCCTCGCAGCGGCCTCGTGGCCTTCGCCCCTCCTGCCATATGTCCACAGCTCGCAGGTGCCACACCTTCCTTCCGTGTCCAAAGCTCGCAGGTACTACGTGGAGCCTCCTTAGACAAGCACCCCTCGGACTCACACCTTATAAATAAGATGGATGCGAGATTTGCCGACTAACTTTGAAAATTTGACACTTTTAGCCCCTCTTTCCATATTTTCTTCATATTAACTTTCCCCGAAGCCCCGAAATCAATTTTAGCACCCAAAACATGTCCCGAGACCCCGAGAAGCCCGGAAATTTTATCTTTTCGGTTTTGAATCCCTACCTTCGCAGAGCCCGGTTTTCAAACAAACTCCCGATTTTCAACATAGAAAGGCATATTTAAAGCCGAAGTGCTGTCCAAATTACTATTTTAACCCCCGGTTAACTTAAGGTGAGTTCAATATATAGGAACAATTTTATGTTATGTGTTATATGTGCTATGTGCTTTTCAGTATTATCATTATGAGTTATTTTCTCGTGTTCTTCGCTATGTTTATAGCAATTGTAATACCTTTGACCATGTGATCTGTGAAAGGACTTAGATTCACATTGGTACTGGTACGTAGCCTCTGGCCATGTAGAGCATGTCTCCTTAAGAGAATGACTTCTATTCTATGGCATTGGCAAATGGTTAGACAGGATTATAACCCTGAAATCTAACAAGATGTTAATCAGAAATTGCATGTCTTCTATGCCAATTGGGCCAAAGCTTTATTGATGTATATCAAGAATTGAAAAGAATATCTTTGAATAATGTCTTTGATTGATATGAACGCTTGTTACATGATCTCACATACATCTTGTTGTTCCTCTTTACCTTGTCACATTGAAGTATATATATATATGGCATAACATTATATTGTATCT